AAGGTTTTGTTGGGATGAAGAACATATCATTTCCCATGATCTCACAGAGCATAAACCTAAATGAGATACATGCATTTGGTACGTTCTTGTCCTTGACAAACATAACCATTGATAACTGTGAAAATATATCAAGTCTAGAAGATTTTCTGCTTCCAGATTACGTACCAGCCATAAAAAGAATAAGTATTTCCGATTGCAAGATGCTAGAATCAATACCAGGTGAAGTGTTTGGGAATTTTAATTTCCTTGAAGCATTTTGGATAGCTGATTGTCCAAACATGCGCCTCCAAAGATTGGTTTCGCCGTCCCTCAAGGAGCTCATGTTGTGTCGTTCTAGTATCTTTTGCAATATTGACTGCTGCTCCCTCACCTCCTTTCATTGTCAGTGTGAGTTTGCCACGTCCATACAACTAGAAACGTGGAGTCTTCCAGCTTTAAAGAGGTTGGAAATTTGGTGCAAATCTCTTACATCTATGGGAGGCACCCCTAGTCTTTCCATTTCTACGGGCACTGGCAACATTAGAGCACTTTCGTCCCTTACTGTCCTACAATTTCAGTACTGTGATAAATTGTCAACCCTTGATGAGCTCCTAACAGAAGAATATCTACCTGCTATTGAGGAAATCCAAATCATAAGTTGCCCCGAGTTACTGTCCCTTCCAGTTGAAAGGTTTGTGAGTTTTCCTCATCTGAAACATCTTAGGGTTGATTACTGCCCAAGTCTCAACTGGCAAAGGGGGCTGGTGTTGCCATCATATCTCAAGGTGCGGATATCTGAGTGTCCAATGTTAGAGGAAGTGGATGAAATCAACAGAAGACCCGCCTAAGGTATTTCTGCTAACGCCTGTTTCCCGTCTGCCTTTTACTTTGTTCTTGTTAAAAAATTGTCTATACACTGGAAGCTGCTCATGTAGTATTATGCAGTAACAATCCAACATAAATTGTTATTGCTAAAGTATGATGGACTTACTCACTGATGACACCTACATGCATTGTATGTTTGATCTGCATAGAATCTTGATTTGTTAATGATTTCCATAAAGAAAGAGAATTCCAATATAGGCGGCATTTTGAACAAAACTTGTCTGTATGAGTGCTGCCGTGCAGTGTGTGTTAAGTCGAAGCTATAGTGATCATGTTTCCTTTTTCAATGAACGCATAGCTTCATTACCTAAAGTTGGAAGACCTGAGGACAACAAAAATATCATGCCGTTGTCTGGCCGTCTCTATCTCTCTCTCCATCCATGGCTCCGTGGTAGTTTCTCCTTTTTACATTTTTATTCCATCAATCATTAATCATATTTTGCTATGATAACTTCAGTTCCCACTTCTCAGTTTTTTGCACAACCGCAAGCTTGTTGTAATAACTAATGAACGACATAGAGTCGCTATGTGAAACATGTGGTATCTGTACACATTTGTGTGTTCTGGTGCATCTTAACTACTCCCTCCGTTCGAAATTACTTGTCATAAAAATGGATGTATCTACAACTAAAATACATCTAGATACATTCATTTCTTGGACGAATAATTCCGAACGGAGGGAGTAGTTCCTACAGTGAAAAGGCAGGCAGATTGTTTCATGTTTCGGAAGTAAAGAAATACAATACTACTCCCTCCGTTCCAATTTACTCGTCGTGGTTTTAGTACAAATTTGAACTAAAACCACGACGATTAAATCGAAACGGAGGGAGTAGCTAGTTTGCTGTGGAAGGTTCACGGGGGCAGATTACTACGCCACATGGCCGCGCTGATGTGTTTCAGGCCGCCACAGAGTTAGACTAGAAGAAAGTAAGACTAGCTTAGAGCATCTCCAACAGCCGGGCCAAACTAGCGCCGCACCGCAAAAGTGGGCGTTCTAGCGCGCGCAACCGGTGTAGTTGCTCCAGCGGGCGCAGAAAAAACAGCGCGCGCGGCATATGCAGTTCAGCGCGCTGGCCGAAACGCAATCGCGCGCCGCTTATTTGCTGCGCCCGCTCCCGCGCGCTGGACTCTTGCGCCCACTCATATGTTGTTGTTTGAATTTACCTGAGAGCATAGAAGCAAGCAGGGTTCAGACTACTCTTTGGAATTAGTTTTGTTATAGTCGACGGTTAGAATTAGTTTGAACTATTAGGAACACTGAACAGGCAGCTCAGCCTCCCCCCCCCCCTCTCTCTCTCTCTTGAGCATTTGGTATAGCATGTGCTGCATCGATCATCAGTTTTATCATATTTTTTCTGCAAACTAGCATAATTGTCAGAAAAAAGAGTCAAAGTCCATTATAATTGTCAATAGTAAAAATAAATTTTGGTTATTTACCCACAACTTGATAAGTTTTCAGCGGAATCTGCTGGACGGGCGGCTCGTCGATGAGCTGCAGAGTGAGATCACCAAGAGATGAAGGAAATGTAACATTTTCAACCCTCATATGTGTATGGACATGATCTGATCTGACAATCCGATCCGGGTATATGTGTATGTACATTGAGAAAGATTTGAGAGATAGAGTAATCAATGCTTTTTGCCCATTGAGAAAGATCCGGGTATATGTGTATGTACATTGAGAAAGATCCGGGTATATGTGCTTGTAATGAATGATGGAAGAAAGAAGCGATCTTTCATTCATTCTTTTTGCTCTGTCTAGTCATTGTTTTGCATTGACAAGAGAAACTCTAGGCAGCAAGTGTTCTTCGGATGTACTTACATTACCAACCAAATTAGTAGCGTCAGTTTTGACTTGTTTAATAAGCATTTGATGCCTTTGATTATCAAAAGGAATTAAGCTTAGCATTTTTCCCATTTCTGTTGCTCCTGGAGTAGCATCCTCTACTTTCATTTACCAGCAGAGCACAACTCTTTTCTCCAGATATAGACGTAAGTAATACTCCCTCCTTCCCAAAATAAGTGTCTTAATCTTAATACAACTTTGTATCAAAGTTAGTACAAAATTGAGACACTTAATTTGAGACAGAGGGAGTATAATTTATGATATACAATAAGGGAGCAGGTAGCATCCTGAATGTGATTAAAGATGCAACACGGAGCAGGTAGCATCATTAAGTTAAGATATGATACTATAGCTTTACACAGCTGTGAGCTCACCTGGGACCATGGCTGCTTCTTCCTGGAAGTTGTGAAGGCTGACTCCTGTAGACTGATTGGCTCCCCCCACCCCTCAGTCTCATCTCTCATCCAACATTGCTAGGTTCATTTCTCTTCTTCTCCTGCTGATGCTGCTGCTGCACATTTGACGGTGAAAAACGCTCGTCGACAGCAAGTAGCACCAATCCAGGTGAGCAAGGCTTTCTTCTATCAGATTCACGATTTGATTTCTTTTCCATGTATGAAGGTCATTTGGTGACTATGGTACCCTTTTTTTTTCGTATTAATACAGTACAGATGCGGTAACAGGCTGCTCAATTTAAAATTGCCTGTATTACAGCTGGCTTACAGGGATAATACTTCTTCATTTGTCTGTCTTGCCTTGCTGCAGGGTATTTGTTTTCTTGCTTTCACACAGTATACGCGTCATCGAGGATGTCGGTATTCGGCTCGCTTAGTCTATTAGTTAATGCTAGAGACACCTGGGAGAAAAGTATATGATCTAATGTGTGAAACAAGCAGCAGGTAGCAACGCATCATCAAGTTAGCATACAACAAGGAGCAGGTAGCATCATGAATTTAAGATATGGTATCATAACTTTACACCCCGTTGCAACGGCAAGCGGACAAAGCTATGAGCTCACCCGGGACCATGGTTGGTCCTTCCTGGAAGCTTCCCGGAAGCTGCGATGGCTGACTTTTGTCATTGTTAGGCACCCCTCCAAGATTGTTAGCTTCATTTCTCTCCTCCTCCACCTTCTGCGCTTTTTACAGTGAGCGCTCGTCCTCGCTAAGCAGCACCGATCCAGGTGAGCAGGCCTCTCGATCTTGAACCTTGCTTTCTTCTACGGTTTGGATTCTCCTTCTGTGTTCCACATGCCTTGTTTTTTTGGTTTGTTTCTCTATGTGTATTCTCAAAAGTAGAATCCATGGATCTATTTTAGCTTAGAACAAATCTTTTTTCCGAAGACCACTTTGTTATGAAGATGTGAAGCAAGCCGACAAGATAGTTTAGTCTTTTCATGTATTGCACCCAGAGTTGTATAAATAAATTAATAAAAGGAGAAAAGTTTCTGTCATGTTCCTCCCCATGTTCTTTCTCTCAGTTCAGTTCCATATGTGAATAAAGCATAGATTAAAATAGCCCGCGAAATAGCAGCGATAGCTGCGCTATAGCTGCCCGGGAGCCTCGCCGCTACGCTATGGCTATTGCCGCGAAAACCTACACATATCCCTCTCTAAATGGCTCAAAAATCAGCAAAACTCTCCATAAATCATCTCTCCGACCAGAAAATTTTCCGATATTTGCCGCTATTGCCCGCTACAGCGGCCGCTATAGCTGCTGGGAGAGGCCACCGTGAAATCGTTTCTCCCGCGATTTTAATTCATGGAATATAGTACATGTTTGGATCAGGACGTGAAGACGCTGTGCTAAGCTGTGGCGAGCCACAAGTGCTGATTACACTTTACCTGCAAAATGGTGACGCGTGGTGGCTTATTTTGGTTTGGCGTGCTAGAGTGTGGTAGAAAAACCAAACAACTCCTGACTTAGTTTGGCACGCCACATACGCACAGCTCGGCGGTGCAAGGCATGATCCAAACACGCCCTAAATCTCACTGGAATATAGCAGTGCATATTTCACGTACGTGATTAAGTAAATCATTTTTGTTAATATAATTGCAGAGACATATTGGATTTCTTTCTAACTATTTTTTCACTTCATGATCTTTCTCTAATTTGCTGGTGTGTCTGTTCAATCTAACTTGATTGAAATTTTGGTGGAAATGTATCTGTTGAAAACAACTACTGCAATAGTCGGCTTGTTATATACTCATACTGCAAAATTTACTTCCAGAATGCTAATTGCATCTTGTTTGCCTGTAGGAAAATAATAGGTGTCCAGACTCTGGCCACCATGAGCTTACCTGCCATTGGGATCATTGGTGCCATCAATGAATGCGTCACTTTGTTTCAGTGGGCCAAATCTGCCATTTCATCTCTGCATTCCCGATGGAGTGGCTCACAGGAGCAAAGCCTCCAGGATGGTGTGTTGCTATTGGAGAGTGGACTACAGCGCCTCAGGGATACTCTTCCTGCAATGTATGACCTAATCGACGAAGCAGAGTGGAGAAGCCATGAGAAAAGTGTGGCCAAACTCCTTCCCAATCTCAAGGATGCAGTGTATGAGGCCGAGGACCTTCTCGATGAGTTCAAATGGTATGAGATGAAGGTGCAAGTGGAGGTCATTGCAAGCCAATCTTCTTTTATTGAATTTTTTGATACGGTCATCCAAGGCAGCTTCAACAAACTGAATGATGTCCAATTGAGGTTGGATCACCTTTCAAGACAATTGGAGAATATGGGACTTTGTGGAGTTACACAACACTTTGACAAATCAGTCAGGCCTGAGACCACCTCTCTGCCAAATGAAACAAAAATATTTGGTCGTGACGAAGAGCTGGAGCAGGTGTTGGGATTTCTTAATGTACCTACAAATTCAAAACGCAAGCGAGCAACTAGTTCAACAAATGCATCAACAAGCGCATCAGCAAGCGACCAAGTTAGTAATGAATCAAGAATATCTAGTATTCCTGTTCTGTCAATAGTTGGAATTGGGGGTGTAGGAAAGACTACTTTGGCCCAACATATCTCCAACCATCAACGAGTGAAGTCACACTTTGAGCTAATAATTTGGGTTTGTGTCTCAGATGATTTTGACGTAAAGAGGTTAGCTAAAGAGGTCATACAATCTTGTAATGGAAAGGAGGCGACATCTGATAATTTGGACGCTCTTCAACGTGCGCTTTCAAACCATGTGGACAAAAGAAGGTTATTGATTGTCCTTGATGATATGTGGGATGATGCCCTGAAGGAAAATGGGCAGTGCTGGAAGAGGTTTTGTGCACCTTTTAGAAGTGTCCAAGAGGGAAGTGTGATGTTGGTCACCACTAGATGTCCAACAGTTGACGAGGGGGTGCGCACAATGGATCCTGTTATATTGGAAGGTCTAGAGGATGACGTTTTTTGGAATTTCTTCAAATTGTGTGCATTTAGATCTGAGAGTTCTTACCGTAATCCCGAGTTGGAGTGCATTGGTAGAAAAATACTTCCTAAACTGAAGGGTTCTCCCTTGGCTGCCAAAACTCTCGGTCGCATGTTAAGCACGGATCTTCAAGCATCACATTGGAATTCTATACTTCAGAGTGAACTTTGGGAGTTGAGTCAAGAGGAGACTGATATTTTGCCTGCCCTTCGGTTGAGCTTCATGTATTTGCCATTCCATTTGAAGCAATGTTTCTCATTCTGTGCTGTGTACCCAAAAGATTACAAATTTGAGGAGGGTTCCTTAGCTGAGATTTGGAGAGCAGAAGGCTTTGTGCATCCTCAAGGTGGTGCTACAATTCTATCTACAAGTTTGCAGTATTTTGAAGACCTTGTAACTCGGTCCTTCTTTCAAAGGGTCGGTAGTAGATATGTAATCCATGACTTGCTGCATGATATGGCACAAATGGTTTCAGTGCATGATTGCTTCATCTTAAGGAATAAGAATGACTTTAATAAAGTTCCCAAAAGTGTTCGTCATCTGTACGTACTCCCTGGTGGTGACTTTGATGATTCCAACTTGTTGAGACTATGCGAGTTCACAAAGCTGCGTACCCTCATCTGTGAGAAGAAATTAGGGAAAAAATCAGTATCTGCGGTGGATCAGTGGGGTAACGAACTTCTGCGTATGCGTGTTTTTTCTTGTGCCTTCATAAATGAGTTACCAGATAGTATTGGCAACTGGAAGCATCTTCGGTACCTTGAAATATCCAAAGCTTGTCCTTTGAAGAGGATTCCTTCAACTATATGTTGGCTATATAATCTGCGGATTTTATTTGCTAGGAAATGCAAGCCGGAAAGCTTGCCCAATGACTTTGGTAAGTTGATCAATTTAGAGAGGTTTCGTGCACATGGACTTTCATATCATGCCGGGACTGACATGACTATTGATTCAGCCAAGGAGTTAGGACAGGGAATTAGGTTAATGAAGAATCTGAACCAATTTCATGGAAAGTTGACTATAGAAAATGTTGGTAACCTAAGCAAGGAGTATGCAGCAGAATCTGAACTGAAGAATAAGAAATATCTAGAAGTGTTGTCACTGAGGATGCGTTCATTGATGGAAGGCTCCCCCAAGTCTGAAATCATCCAGAACAAAGAAGTCCTTGAAGCTTTGCAACCTCCTACCAGTCTAAAGTCTCTGTATCTTGCTGATTATGACGGTGCCTCCCTCCCAAGCTGGTTTCAGCCACAGAACTTGCCAAGCTTAAAATTTCTTTCTTTTGGAAGATGTGTTCGACTTGAGAGCATATCATCTCCCTCGATGTTAGGGTCAGTACCAACTGAAAGTATTGGGGATTTTCATTCCCTTGAAGAACTGAAAATGAGTATCTGTCCAAACATCCAGCCCCAAAGATTGGTATCACCGTCCCTCAAGAAGCTCCATCTCTGGGATGCTGGTCTCTTTTGCAGTATTGACTGCTTCTCCCTCACAGACTTCAATTTAGAATGTGAGTATGTCACGTCCATCCAACTAGAAAAGTGGAGTCTTCCGTCTCTACGGAGTTTGAGCATTGACTGCAGTTCTCTTGCATATATTGGAGGCAACACTACAACATTCCCGTCCCTTAAAGTCCTAATCGTTACATTCTGTTATAAGTTGTTAACCCTTGATGGCATCCTAACGCAAGAATCCCTACCCGCTATTGAGGAAATTGACATCCAACAATGCCCCAAGCTACTGTCTCTGCCCATTGCAAATTTTCCTAATCTGAAACACCTGGTGGTTGATAGGTGCCCAAGTCTCAACTGGCAGAGGGGATTGGTGTTACCATCCTCGCTCCAAAAGCTCGGCTTAACACAATGTGGAGATATCTCACCATATGTCCCCAGCTGCCTAGAGAACCTCACATCCCTTGTCTCACTGAGCATTGGTGGCCAGGGTATAACATCCATTCCAGGCGACATTTGGCATAGTAATCTTGCATCACTGGAGGAGTTGGTGATTTCGGGCTGTCCAGACCTAATTTCAATTGGTGGAGCAAAGGCAGTTAGGAAAATAAAGGAGTTGGTAATCACCGCGTGTCCAAACTTAAAGAAAGAGGAGCAAATCTTTAGAACCGGCCAAAGGTATCTATGCTTACACTTGTTACTTCTCTGTTGTTCGAAATTCCCTATATACTGGAAATAACAATCCATGTTTAATCAATACCATTAAAGTACACTGGATTTACTTGGTGTGTATTGTATGTCTTGTTTCTTCTTGTTACTTCCACTGTTTAGTCAATATATATATAACCATGGTCTGTCTATGTGTCCTA